ATTAAATATGCTTTCAAAGTTTATACTTATTTAATTAATTATTTATTTATTTGATTTTTTGTGAATCAGTTTTATTTATTAATTTAATAATCATGTCAAATGAGTTCTATTTATGTTTATTCATTTTCGATTTGTGGTCAAAGTTTAAAAATAATTGTATAACTTGAGGAAACAATCGTTTTGATGTATTATTAAATACTCTATACGTATTGGCTTTAAATAGAAATAGAATACATATGATTTATTATTAAATGTATATTAAGTTATTTTAATTATAACTTTGGTGTCCTCGATCAAGCAACAATAACTAAATAAGTTAATTTTTTGTTTTTGTTATAATTATCCACATAAAGCCCTGTAAAAATGAGTAGTGCAAGCGAAGTGCATGCTATTTTTTTTTTTTAAACAACATGATCCATGGCCTGCATTACATAGTACCATGTTGTCCCATAATTTTAGCAAATTTAAGATAAGTTTGATGTAGTGCATGTTTAGATTACTTGGTCCTCACATGTTAAATGGAGCATGTTTTTTAATATATTTGGGTTACTTTTAGACCAGTCCTAGTCCTTTACGGATAACTTTTTACACGCGTTTTTAGGTTTGATTTCATATTAATGTTTAAATAACACATGCCAACAAATTTTTAACTCGGAGAACAAAGTTATTTCTGTAAAGGATTGAACTACGTTGAAACCGAATCTAAATCTCATCAAGTTTTTGAGTTATCGTGTCCTAATGTTTGAAATCACCCATATTTCAGACGTCATTATAGCTCAAAGACAGATTTATATATAAAAACTCTTATGTCAACTGAAAGTTTAATCTCTCGTCTTTAAAATAAAGCTTTATTTTTATCTTTTTCGAGAAATCTTAGCCTAAGGCCAAAAAGGGAATTTTTTAATACATTATGCCTTTATTTTATGCCAAACTTGTATGTCATAATTGTTTCAATGTATACAATTGTTTAAATATCTCTTGTATTTACCTGAGATATCGTCCATTGAATTTGGGGCGACCAGTCACATTTGTTCGTCATAAGAAAAGTCCTTAATAAGACGGTTAAAGTTTTTGTAGATCCAAAAATAATATGTAATATTCCGCAAAAAATTGATTGTGGATTCTTTTTCTTATGATTTCAACACAGAAAAATTTATTTGTTTTATCCCAGGATTTCTTTATGAGATTTTTTTTAATGAAAATAGTTCGTAATAACCGATAATTCGTTATAACCGAGTACGTTATAAATTGTAGTTTTAAAATTAAGGTTATGACATCTCCAAGGGAAGAAGAAGATTCCAAAAAAGTTAAGCCTTTGTTTTAAAGTTGGCAGATTGCACATTCAGACTTTAATGATTTGCAACATAGATCATCATTTATGATTTGCAACATAATCATCTGAAGAATTTTTTAGAAAACTGCAGAATAAATACCGAAAAAAACACATTTTTCGGAGTTGTTTGTTTAATTTTCGTCCATAACTTTTAACATGGACTTTTTTTAGTGAAATATCAGAAAAATACGAAATTTTTTAAACCGAAATCACATGCCGCAGTTTTCTAAATGTAAAAATTTTATGAACTTTCAACACTACACGTCACTCGGCATTTTTATTAGACCACAATTTCCCAAGGTAAAAAAGTTCTGACGCGTATAGCTTCACGTGTTTAATTCTCTAAAGTTCGCAAGGGTTAAAGAAACTGACGTGTTGTTTTTTTAATTATGTTTCTGTTTTCAAATGTTTATTTTTATGGACTGATGTTAGACTTTTTATTAAAATAAGATTGTAAAATACAAATTATTTTAAAAATTTGGAACTTATTAAAATTGGCCTAAAATATATAATTTTATAAAGCCACATGATTTAAAGACTATTTTTTAAAGATTTTGAAAAATTTTCGTACATAAGTTAAGAAAAGATTTTAGAAATCCACTTAATAAAAATAAAGATTATTTTAAAAGTTAAAATTTAAAAAAAAAAATTAATTTCGAAATTTGCAATAAAATATTACATTGATATAACGGGCATTCATGTATAAACAATTTTAATTTATTTCGATTACAAGAACTGAAGCTAATTTAGTTTTGAGAAATACACGTTCTCCTTAAGTGGAGAACAGAATTAATGTTAAAACGTTTTAATTATTCAATATTAACTATCCTTATGACTGTTAATACATCATAATAAATTTATGAGTTTTTTTTATATTTTAACGCCTGATAACTTCTCACAGAAAATTGAAAAAGACGCAATTAATAACAAACATCTACTTTGTTGTAATACCTATATATTTTCAATACTTTTGCTATAGAACAACAAACAACTAAAGCAAGACGACAAGTAAGGTATTACTATATACATAATAGTATTAGTAGTATATGGGTTAAACGTAGAGGTCATATAGATTTACTAACAAAATAAACTTTTCCGTTACTTCACTAATTGATACTCTGGTAATTTTCATGTTTCCATAATGAAATTAGTTAATGGAAACCAACCGGCATTTGGTCGGTGGGTCATTCGTACATTCATACACTTGCTGGCTATTCGTACAATCGTATGTTGTTTAGTCGGATATTCTATACGAAGAAAAAAACAACCACAAAACTGTTGTTTCTTTTGTAAAATAATAATAATAATACTTTTGCAAAATTCTCTCATTTAATAAAAGAGCATACATACATATGTCATAAAATATGTTTCAAAGTAAATTAATAAAGTAGCGACACGAGTTGTTGTACAACAAACGTCTACAAAAACCACAGGCAATTTGTTTTTGTTCGAAATACTCACTTGTCAAAATTTGTTTACAAAAATGAACCAATAATTAATGGAAAATATGGCATTATTGTTGTACTTTCCAAAAATATGTTGTTATTTATATTAAAAGTCACATAGTTTTCTTTATTTTTTAAAAATTAGAACATTTTTAAAAATATTATACACTTAAAATACACTTTTTCACATTAAATACAACAAATTACTCAGAAATTTGTACAAAAGCAAGCGTTAAAATGAAAACAAATATGGCAACATAAACATTTTTGACAAGTAAGTCCACAAATAGCAAGTTTAAAAAAATAGTCAGCTGTTCAACTGAGTCTACTTTATAAATTTACTTTGATATGTTTGTTCTCTGTTTATATTTCTCTGATTTTCGACACACGACTTGAGGGGGAGCATATTACGTTGTCGAATGTATATATATAGAATATATGTACGTAAGGTACACTCACCTATCTCCTCTCAAAGCTAACGTCACTATTAGAACAAAATATTATAAAGCTATATAAAATGGGAAGAAAGCGAGCAGAAAAAAACAACAACAAAAGTTGTTTGGCTGCATCCCAACCATCGTATGATTTTATTTTGCTCAATTCCCATTCGTTTATATTTGAGTAACGCTATTTTATGAGATGGCATCAACAAACTGACAAACGCGTGTTTTTTTTAAATTGTTAAGCGGTTACTTTTAATACTCTAGTGTGTACCATAGCAGTACTAAAATATGCAAAAAGAAAATAATTATACTATATAGGTATATACATTTTTTTTATTTTCTATATTGTAATAACAAAAAATTAAAAAGAAAATTGTGTAAAAGAAAAACGGTTGAAATTGTTTCTTTTTTATGGAAAATTGAAAGTGTAATTGTTATTGAAAAACACATGTTGTCTTTGCCATTTTCTCTACCGTCTTGTAATAAAACTGAAAATTATAAAAACTAAATTATTTGAAATTACATTCTCTATTTTTCCATGCTAACTTAAAATTATCAATACCCCGTTGATTGTCTGTCTGAATTACTGTCTATTTAGTTGTGCTTTAATTGTTTAGGAGAGTTAATTGAGATTTACTTACTATTTCATTTATAAAAAGTACTTTTTTAACTGTTTAGGACTTTTTTTTAGTATTTTTTAAGAGAAAAATACTACATTATTCTAAATTTAAGCTGAAAAGGTTACGTAGATTCGAAGTTTTACCAATTTTAAACATTATTTTTAACAATTTGAACCTGGAAACGTTCATTTCATGTTCATTTTCTACAGTTGATGAAATTTGCAAAACTATTGCATAAGGATCTTAAAAATATCCAAAATTGACCTGAAATAAATTCGAAAATAAAATCTAATGCGATTACAATTTTCGATTACTACTTAACTTTACTTACAAACATTAAACCGCTTCTCAAACCTAATTGAAAATTTAATTATTAGCTAAAACTAATTTGTACTTGGTCCTTGCAAAAATCAACAGTTGAAAGTTCAGAAACAGTGAGTTTCTTCAGTGGATTATCACGCGTCTTGTAAATATGCCTAAGCCTTAAACCAAAATAAAATGTCTACCAAACAAACATAACCTTTGCAAATGTTCAGTTTAGTCCCAATAACAAAAAAGTACCAACAACTTTGTTTGCATATTATTCATTAAATTTAGGGGTGGCACGAGCAAAAGTTTATTGTGTGAGTTTAGCTTTTTTTCCAAATTGTATATAAAAACAAACAAAATACCAGATAACATTGTTGATTCTAATCGTAAAAAAGTACTTTATCATTTGTTTATATTTTTGCATAACTTTTTTTTTTAATTTCAACTAAACATCTCTATTGTTTTTAAATACATATACATCTTATAAAAATCAAATAAAACATATAAACATGTCGGAGGGTACAAGCAACTGCTAGAGAAACAAGAGAAATCTCAGATTCTTGTCAAGTATTTTTCCATTTCTATGTATTTCGTAGTTTAGTTTACAATTGTATTCTCTTTAGTGTAGTTGCCAGACACGCACGTTGTTGAGCAACTGAAAACTAAACTAAATTAAAAAAAAAAAAAATACCCTTCCACTTTACTCAGCCAGGCAGGAATTAAATATTTAATGGTAATTTAAATTTAATTACTTATAATTACAACAATACGAGTATAAATAAATATAACTTGTTATAAAATAGTGAAATTGTTTTTTAAATGTTAATAATATTTTCATTTTGTATTCTAGCATCATGCCGCCAAACGCTGCTCCCGCTTCTCAAACGATTACTGAATCGCTTTTAGCTGCTGGTGGTATTTCCGAAGGTAATCCTAAAGTTTTGACTGAAGCCACCACCGGTGTCTTGTTCGAGCAAGATGCTGAAACAATTGATGGTGGTTTGGTAAAGGATATTGAAAAATTGAAAAAGGCTGAAAAACGTAAACTGAAATTGGTATGGCGTAATATAATTGCATTCGGTTATTTGCATTTGGCTGCATTATATGGCGCTTATCTTATCTGCACTTCGGCCAAATGGCAAACCATAGCTTTTGGTAAGTTTTTTTTTTAATTTGTTTTGCTATTAGTTGTAATCATTATTGTAGTTTAAAGGTACCTTTAATGGTATGAATGAATCACTTAAAATTTTATTTATTATTTGCTGCTGAGAACACACTTTGAGATTTTTTTTGTTGATTTGGTTTTCTTCTATGTAGATGTTGTTCTAACAACAGTTATATATTGTTGTATATTTTATAATTTTTTGCTTTTATTCATCTTTAAAAAGATTATATAAAGTTTAGGTAATTCTTTATATTACTACGTTTTTACTTTATAAAGAACTTTATTGTTTTTTTTTTACAAACAAAAATCTTTGAAATTTTACACAAAATAAGTGATGTTATGAGAATATTTGCTTATAAGCATTTCAGTTTTTTGTATAATTATTTAATCATAATTACATTGTGTGAATAGTTAAAAAATCGGTAATTTTTTAATAAAAACTATTCTTTATAATGAGTTCAAAGCAATTTAGAAAAAACAATGTGAAATTACATGATCTCAAATGTAAACAGTGGTTTCAATTTATATTTAAGCTTGGAACGGTTGCATCACATTTTGTCTTGCACAGATTAATGATTCGATGTCAAAAAACCAAATCTATGTTTCCTGAGTAGAGAACTTTATCCTGGCAAAATATCTTTAAAAACAATATTCCAAACAAGTAAACATTTCCGGTATAATTTCCCAACTCTGCTTCACCTTGCATTGAAAAAGTCTCGCATTGAGTTTTATATCAATTTTTGAAAGACAAAAATAAATTCAATTAAATTATAACAAAATTTTGTAGCAAATTTATGTATATATTTTTATTTAAAGTAAATAAATATTTTTGTTAAAAATTATTTCGCAAAATTTTTGTTCACAATTTGAGAAAAATTTCAACGTAATTTTAAACAAAAAATGGATGCATTTAAAGTACCCAAAAAAGTTAACCGTCATGTTTTAAAGGCGCTTAACTTTTTAAGCCATGGCAAAGCAGAAGATGAAGTTAGTACAGAGCAGATTTTAAACCAAGTTAAATATCAAATGAGAAATTTAGTGCCCGTACCCAATATTGATATGGTCATACAGAAATCATTGAAAAATTTAAGTGATATTGGTTTGATTGATAGGACGGCACCACAAAGATTTGCCATGGGACGTTCTTATGCTCCGTCTTCGGCGCCTAAGGCCAATAAACCCAAAACAGTGAATCGCAATATATTTAAGCCCAGTGTAAGTTTTTAAAGAAAGTTTTTTGATTGTCTGTTACAAGTGTTAATAATTTTAGGTTTCACGCAAGAGAAGCAGCAGTCGATTAAACCCCAATTTTAGACGGGCTCAATATGACAGCGAGGAGTCTTTGTCCGGCGATGAATATGATCATGCACGCAAACGTATACGTACTAATACCAAAAAAATTAAACACTCTGGTCGCAATACCGAATTGCCCAAAGCCCGACAACATTTCCGTTTTAAAAATATCGCCTTAGCAGATCCCCTATCTAATCCCTCACCCCTTTATATGAGGGATTATGAATCTGACAGTATTTTCGAGCAAAATCAAGAAATGGCAGTTTACATTGGTCCTATAAGGAATTCAAATAACAATTTGGATGTAACTAATATAACACCAAGAGAACCTTTAGAAATCAATGAAATTTTAAATGATGATCAAACAGATAATATGAACAATAGCCAAAATCCTAAAGAAGCCTCTTTTGAGGTGGTGGAACTCTTTTTAAATAGTAACAATAACTATGAAACTGCAAATAAATCTAATTCTCAAACGAATTCCCAGTCTGATGACCCCCCCTCAAAGACTAGTCTTGATACAAATGTTTCGACAAATGAAAAATCCAAAACCTCTGTTTCAGCTACTCAATCCCAAACGATTACTTTGGAGAATTAATTGTCTAGTCTATTTTTATTATTTCATTACTTTTTATTTAAATTGTGTGAATTGCCGTTTGTTATATTGTTTATTTTGCACTTTTATAAATTAATTTAAAACAATGTTGCTTACTAAAAAAGAATTGCATTTTAATTGAAGAAAGAAAATGTGTTTGCATAAAATTAACATGACACATCGTTATACTTATTTAACTATGCGCAGTTAATTATAATATTAATTACACGCTTTATGTTTCTATACAGAACATCAATCAATAATGTCAAAAGTGTTTGTCTTTTGATTGTTTTAAATGCATTAATATATTCTTTTAGCAGGCGTACAAAGACAAATTCAAATGCATATTTTATAGATTAACATAATATGTAGTAATTTCATTGCAGATAATACAATTAAAATATTCTAAATAACTATTGACGTCTTCTTTTAGCTTTCGGTTTGTACCTTATCTCTGGCTTGGGTATTACAGCCGGTGCCCATAGATTGTGGGCCCATCGTTCATACAAAGCCAAATGGCCATTGCGTTTAATATTGATGATCTTCAATACAATTGCTTTCCAAGATGCCGCCTATCACTGGTCTCGTGATCACCGTGTACATCACAAATATTCCGAAACCGATGCTGATCCTCACAATGCCACCCGCGGCTTCTTCTTCTCCCATATTGGCTGGTTATTGTGCAAGAAACATCCCGAAGTTAAAGCCAAGGGTAAGGGTGTCGATATGAGCGATTTGAGAAATGATAAAATCATCATGTTCCAAAAGAAGTACGTACTTGAGTTTAATATTCCTATAATTCCTGTATATTAATTCACTTTGTTTTCTATTTGTTTTACAGATACTACATGATTTTGATGCCTCTGTTGTGTTTCCTTTTGCCCACTACGATTCCCATGTACGGCTGGAATGAAAGTTTCATCAACTCTTGGTTTGTGGCCACCATGTTCCGTTGGTGTTTTGTTTTGAATGTTACCTGGTTGGTCAACAGTGCTGCTCACAAATTCGGCGGCAAACCTTACGATAAGTAAGTTTTTTCTAGTATTTCGAAAACTTAAACTAGTATATTGACTGTTTTTCGATGTTAATTTTTTAAATTTTTTATCTTTATTTCCTTCAGATACATCAACCCTGCCGAAAACTCCTCAGTTGCTATTTTGGCTTTTGGCGAAGGCTGGCATAACTATCATCATGTTTTCCCTTGGGATTACAAAACCGCCGAATTCGGTCAATACTCCATGAACTTAACCACAGCTTTTATTGATTTCTTTGCCAAAATTGGCTGGGCCTACGATTTAAAAACAGTTTCCGCTGATATTATCAAGAAACGTGTGAAACGTACTGGTGATGGTTCTCACGAAATCTGGGGTTGGGGCGATAAGGATCAACCTAAAGAAGAAATTGATGCTGCTGTTATAATCAACAAAAAAGATGAATAAACTCTATGTATTAGCAGTATCAAACGTCCATTCACTAAAAGAAAATATTATTAGAAAACCAACAACAACAACAACTAAAAAATCAGGGATAAAATGAAGGGAAGGTGTGCTCTAAACCAAAAAATACCAAAAAACACACAAACTAAAACTTTAAAAACAACCTAAAGTATAGAGTCGTCGTCATTTTTATAGTTTGTCATAAAAACAAAACAACAATGAAATAAAGAAAAATTCCTTAACAATTCCTTTCTATTAAAAAATGAAGAAAAACAAATGCTAAAAGGTGGTGAATTCGAAAATTGTTGTGATCTCATCACCAAACAAATGGCAACAAACAAAAGCTAAAAACAACATAATTTCAACTGAAAACTGAAATTTTACGAGTTCCTAGAACTCTTTAAACAAATTATATTATATATTAAACTAAATATATTGATAACATACACATACACCAAAATAAAATCAATACAACATTTTTCTTTGTTCCCGTATATTCCATTTTAAAGACTAAACAACAAAAACAAACCAACAAATCCCTTATTAAAGCACGCTTTCTTACTTCTTTTTTTATATGTAATTATAAATAAATTAAAACTACATGTCTGGCACATTAAAATTAAACAAACAAACTTTTCTTTTTGTGTAAATTAAACCAAGATTCTTTAAGAATCTTAGTTAAACAAAGAACGGCTGCTGCTATACAACAATTTAAAAACAGCACAAATATTTGGACCCCTGCAGTAGAACACCTTAGGGTTCCATATAACGAAATCATGTTAATTCCTTAACCCTTACTACTTTCTTTCCAACCCGTCCCTTTCATTTTATTATACACATGTATTTAATAAAGCTTTACCAAATATAATTTTTCAAAATCTTTAAAAACACCCAAATATTTTCTATAAGCTTTGGAACCAACAATCCCCAAAGAGCTTAAAAAATAAGACATACAAAACAAGAAAGGTTGAAAATTACTGAAAAAAGTATAACTGATTTTGATTTAGAAGAAATAAAAACTAAAACACTTATTCTTATTTAATAGATTTATATATGTAAATGTTATATAACTCCCCCTATCTCTTTCCATTGCTCTTAGAGAGATACTGGTAGATGAAATGAAAAATAAATAAAAAATATATTAAATATAAAAACAAAACCTTAACAGAATTGTTATTAACTTTACGTTGTTTGTAACACTTTTAAATCTTTATGTATGTGTGAATTCATATTTGGATTTAAAATAAAAATATTAAGTTAAATCGGAAAAAACAACTATTAATGTAAAACCAACAACAAAATTCTTATTAATGTGAAAATAAATTCCATAAAAAACACTTAAAAGGAAACATTTAATTACTATTAATAGAAAACTAATCATCTAATAAAAAATATTGAATACAATTTGTTAGCTCTTGGAAAAAATACATGAAATTGTTTTAATTCACAAGAAAGTAGAATGGTACTTTGCAAATGTGCAACCAATTGACTGACTGCTCAAGTTTATATGATATTAAGGTCTATAAGAACAAACATAATAATTTTCAGGATAATAATAACCACCAAAATAATCGGTTAGGCGGCTTAAATGTAATTGTCTAAAATTTATACTACGACGCCATCTAACGGATCGTTTTAAAACTTAACAGGAACACTTCTCAAAATCTCTCGATTATATGCATATTTGAAGTTTTATCCCATTATGTGCTGTAGTTCTTGAGTTTATCGATTATAAACAAACATTAGTATTTTATATAGATATAGACTGGTGTAGGGTATAATATGGTCGCCCATGTCCTACTATACATTCGAAAAGTCGGAATTTGTTTGATAAATTTTATTTCTTGTGAAATATCGAAATTTTGGATCTTTGTTAAAAAAGTAATGGAAAAAATTTGGTATTTCAATTCGAAATTTTCTCCGTTTGGTAACTTTAACATTAAATTAACAACTTACAAAAACGTAGTTACGATCGCAATGCAGAATACAGGCAATCGTAAAGCATTGAAATAATATGGAACTGCTTCTTCTTCTTTTTCTTATGATTCCGTTTTTTGTTGGAATACCAATTTTCGATCGTAGCGTAACTGAATGCGGAAACGTAATCGAAATGCAGAATAGGGGTGATTTATTTAATATTTTTTGTCAACTCTTTCGCATAGTTTTATATTAAAAACTTAGTTTTAGAAAAGAACTAGACTTGATTCCATCCGCATCCAACCGATTTTCGATTTCCTGTCAACTTGCACTTAACAAAATTGAAATAAAAAGCTATATTTTGATATAATGTATAAGTAAAAACTAAAATGCCGCATATATCACTAATTATTTTAGTTCAGGACTTTTTAGCGTTTTACATGAGTTAATCTCATTTAACAATTAATTAACATTAGTAGTAATAATAAAAAATATAAATCAATTTATTCGTTTTTGGGTTTATCTGACTCTTCAGTTTCTTTAGGGGTTTCCTTTTTCTCTTTCTTCTTTTGTTTCTCCTCTTTCAATTTCTTTTCGGCTTCAATTTTTGCCCTTTCCTTGGCTTGTTTTTCGGCTTCAACTTTAGCAGCAGCTTCGGCCACTTGTTCATCATCCCAATCGGCCATGGACTTGTCGCGTTTAAGCCAAGATTCAGCAGTATCTTCTTTGAAAGCTAAAATGATTGAATAAATATTTTAAAAGTATTTTTAATGCAAATTATATTAAATATACTTACTGCTATTAAACCATTTAATGCCCTCTTGCATTTGATCTATTATATCCTTGGAGGTGTACATAATTTCATTTTGTATGGCCTGTTGGAAGTTGGCCGCATCAAAGACTGAGGAATATAAGGAATTTCTATCGTGGTTTAGGGCACTTTGGGGGAATTTAGCCAGTTGATGGGCCAATTCCAAGGCCTTGATAAGAGCATTGCCTGTGGGTACTATACGATTGGCGATGCCAATTTGATGAGCTTCTTCGGCGCAGATTTGTCTGCCTGTTAGAATCAAATCTAAAGCTCTAGAGAAACCCACCATGGCGGGCAAACGAGCAGTGCCACCATCTATGACGGGTACTCCAAAACGTCTATTGAAAAATCCCAATACAGCGGACTCTTCCATAACACGCAAGTCACACATTAGAGCCAATTCCAGACCGTTTGCTATACAATAGCCATTAATACCGCACACTACGGGTTTGTGTATATGACGTCTGGTAGGACCAACTGAACCCTCTGGCATCATTAACATTTCCATTGACACTTGACCCTCATCACTAGTGGCCATTTCCAAAATATCGAAACCCGCACAAAATGAACCACCCACGCCATACAGAACAGCTATCGGAGAGGTTTCATCGGCCTCAAAGGTTCTGAAAGCATCACACAATTTGGCTGCCGTCTTGGCATTAATGGCATTTCGACATTGAGGCCGGTTAATGCCAATAAGTGTTATATTTTTGTCTTTGTCTATTAATATGGACTGTTCTTCCTCCTGGGCTTTAGAGTCGGCTGCATCTAAAATAGTGTATCAAAATTAAAATCCACATTGATAATTATGTCACCCAATCATAATTGCTACTTACCTCCTTTGAGAAGGCGTGCTGAGGCACAAATATTACGATGAGCTGTAGCAAAATTAATATCGACAATTTTGCACAATTGTCTGGTTAGTTGTTGAAACATTTTGTTTAAATTCAATATATTGTTTATTAATTATGTTTATTACACTTTTTTATGAATAAATAAATAATATTCCGTTCAAAAGCCGGAAAAATAAATAAATTTTGCAAAAAACTATTGCCAATTGTTTTTGACAGTCATATGTTTGGTTGAAATATAATTCTCTTAAATATTTTTCTCTCTTTCTTCTTGTAAACTTATCGATAACCTAGCGATTACCAACAAACAGTGGCGGCTTTTTTTTAGTACACTATAATAAAAATAATAGATAAATCAATATATTTTATTAATTAAAAAAAAAATAGTATTAAAATGCTACATTATTATTTTCATTAATAGTTTATTTGTTAAAAAAACTTATTTACCTTTAACATAAGTGTTATTGCCATATTAAAGAGACTACTGTTTTTGCGATTTTTTTTATCTTCTGGCAACATCATTACCCAATATTTACTTTAAATTTTGCAAAAAAAAATGTTTATCAAAACATTGGGATTTTTTAAGAAAAATGTAAAATTTTCAAAAAATATAAATAATTGCGTAAAAAGCAAGAGGTTTTTCACAAGTAGTCCAATATTTAAACAAAATGGTTAGTTTATAATTAAGTAAAAATTTAAAATTCGTTCATAACTAGGTAATCTTTTCTAGAAACACCAGCCGAAGATACTATAGTAGTGGATAAAGATGAACATATCACTTTGATTGGCATAAATCGCCCAAAGCAGCGTAATGCCATCGATTTTGATACAGCCGAGAAACTATCCATGGCTTTGAGTAATTTTGAGGCCGATGAAAGTTCTCCAATTGCTGTACTTTACGGTGTAGGTGGTACGTTTTGTGCCGGTTACGACATTCAAGAACTTGAGGCTCAAAGTGAGAAGGGTAGTTTGGATTTTTTGTTACGTCATGAAGGTTCTGTAGGACCGACACGTCGTCAATGTGGCAAGCCTCTCATATGTGGAATTAGTGGTTTTTGTGTGGCCAGTGGTTTGGAATTGGCTTTAATGTGTGATTTAAGGGTAATGGAAGAAACTGCCATATTGGGATTCTTCAATAGGCGCTTTGGTGTGCCTATGAGTGATGGAGGCACAGCTCGTTTAGCCTCTATGATTGGCTATTCTAGGGCTTTAGATCTTTTAATGAGTGGACGTCGCGTGACCGGCAAAGAAGCTTTAGAAATTGGTTTAGTAAATCGCTTGGTGGCTACCGGTACTGCTTTAGGTCAAGCTGTGAATTTAGCTTTTTCCATCGTAAAGTTTCCTCAAGCCTCTGTAGCACACGATCGTGATGCTCTCTATACAAATGCTTATACACGTCATGGTTTTCAGGCTTCAATGCAAACAGAAGTTATGAATACTTCAAGACAAGTTTTGGCTGAACTTAAGGAAGGTGTGCAACGTTTTAAGAAATGTAAGTAAAACTTTACCGTTTGTTCATCTAAATGATATGAAATATTGATCTTTATTTCATTTCTTTTCTAGCTGAAACCAAAGGCTCCAAAACCGATTCATTTCTTGTTAAACCAAAGCCAATCCCAGATTGGGAAAAATCGGAAATTGAACAGGAAAATAAAAATAAATCGAATAAGTAAATTAAGAATCAGGTATCATTTTATTCATTATTTCCGATTCGTTGTAGTGTAGCAAAGTAGAAGTAATGATGTAATAAGTGCATCCTAGTAGAATTGTTAATTATTTGATATCATTTTGATCTATTATAAAATATATAAATTTACATACAAATAATTATTTCGTCATATGAAATCCAAAAGGCCCTAAGTTCCAAAAAAAGTAAATATCGACTTTTTGATTGATTATGATGCACCGTATCATGTTCCTGCTAAATTTTACATTCCTACAATTAAAATCAACATCCCTATCATAGAAATTATAAAAGGTTATGTTCTAAAATTCATGAAAACTTTAAAATTATTTTGAATTTTTAACTTCGAAACTGTGAAATGTCATATGTTAGCATCGGCCTATTTGACCAACAAAAACTGATTTGAATTTTGTTGAAAATGTTAAAACTTACTATTTTTTAATGTAACTTACGCCCTTTAGGGTTTCAGAAAAAATAAATTCTCAAGGGCGTAAGTTTCATATCTCCGTAAGTAAAACAAAAACCGCACATTTTTCTTCAAATAATAATTTATCAATAAGAAATAAGCTTAACTTGAGAAAATGTTGAACATTTTTGGTTTATTTATCATTTCAGGCGGTTTTTTGCTTCTCCTGAAAAATTTGTTCAATGTAACTTAGGGCTTTTTAGATTTCATATGACGATTTGTTGTTATTTTTATTAATATTTGTGAATCATTATTCTCTGAGTATTAAAACTTATGTTATAAGATAATAAAAGCGCTTTGCAAATTATTACAAACAGGTTATGTGGTAAGATTTTTTAACCCTATAATTTGGAAACAGCTTTAGAAAGGTCGACTTCGCTTCGCTTCCGATAATTCTTTCCTGACTGATACAACGGTTGATACAACTGTCCGCGCGTTGATAAACTTTGGCCGAATATGACTCGGCTCGTTCCGATGATACAATTGTCGTGTGAACGTTGTGCAGTTTATAATCCTATTGTCTTAGTTTGGATCTGGCTGTGTTTTCTAGTTTAATTATACATAGTTCAGTTCTAGTTTAGTTCTAATTAGGGTTCTATAGTTGAAACGAAAAGTCGACTTTTCGACTTTTTTCATTTAGTTAAAAGTGGACTTTTCGACTTTTTGCATTTTATGAAAAGTCGATTTTTCGACTTTTCGACTTTTTTCATTTAAATAAAAGTCGACTTTTAGACTTTTATAGACTATAAGTATTTTATAAATAGTCGACTTTTCGACTTTTTTCGACCTTTTCCGACTTTTTTCGACTTTTCGACTTTTTTCGGCTTTTCGACTTTTTCCGACTTTTTTCGACTTTTCGATTTTTTCCGACTTTTCGATTTTTTCGACTTTTTGACTATTTTCGACTTCTTTCTACTTTTTTCCGACTATTTTTTGACTTTTTTCCAGTTTTTCCGACTATTTTAGAGTTTTTGACTTTTTTTCCATTTTTTCTAAATTTTTGACTATTTTTTACTTGTTTCTACAATTTTCGATTTTTCGACTTTTCGACTTTTTCCGACTTTTTTCGACTTTTTCCGACTTTTCGACTTTTTTCGACTTTCTTCGACTTTATTCGACTTATCGACTTTTTTCGACTTATCGACTTTTTTCGAGTTTCAGACTATTCGACTTTTCGGCTTTTTTCGACTTTTATTCACAAAGTCGACTTTTCGACTTTTTTCACAGACGATAGTCGAGTTATCGACTTTTTTGGAACAAAATAGTCGACTTCGACTTTTTTCGACAAAAAGTCGATTGTTCGATTATTCGAAAGTCGATTTATAGAACCCCAGTTCTAATTCAGTTCTGGTTCAGTTCTAGTTCAGTTCTAATTCAGTTCTAGTTCAGTTCTAGCTCAGTTCTAATTCAGTTCTATTTCAGTTCTATTTCAGTTTTATTTCAGTTCTAGTTCCAGTAACCATAAGCAAATCCATTACGATCAATGTTTTAATACTTACACGCTCCATTGTTTTCTTTATGATTTATGAAAGCAATGTACGTATGATCATTTTTAAACAAAATATACATATGTTGCTCATACGCTTTCACCATTGTTAATCCTTAAGGTGCGTATAATTAATAATAAATTCATCATGAAGTTTTTATAATAAAAAACAAAAAGTAAAATTTTTTTGTTTTATTGATATAAGATATTTTTATTCAAATATTGCACTTTAGATTTTTTTTTTTTTGGTTTTTATTTTTTTAATTACAAAAAAGTTTAGAAATAAGAAGAGTTAGAAGAAAAAAATGGAACGGAGTTTTTCTTTGTTGTTGTTGTTGTTCTTATATGTTTACTCTTTAAAATTACACGGAGCTAAACAAATTTTAATTTTAAATTTAAAATACAAATTAAAAAAATGTTTAAAACATTCTTATTACATACATTATATTAAATACCATAAGAATAATAAGAATTCACAAGAATTTATCAAAATACAAACAGGTTTTCAATATTTTGTTGATCATTAAAAGATTTTTTATAGCCGTTTTAACATTCACTTACAATACATGCACACACACGTTTAAAAAGCACAGCATTAATGTTTTAATATAATTATAATTATATTATTACTAATAATAATACAAATTTTAAGCTTAAAAATTATACATTATAATTTTTTACGTAATAATTTTTAATTAATTTAATACAAATTAAAAAAAAAATAATAAAATTAATTACATATTGCACACCTAAAGTCGTTTAGTTTTTTTGTTTTTCTTGGTTGATTTTTCTGTGTTACTTAAATTACATACAATTTTATACTAAATTAAGTGTTTGTTTTCTATATTATGGTAAATTTTCTATTACAACACATTTTCAATATTACACCATTTTTAAAACTTTGTTAAAAGATCAATTTTATTAGAGTTAAAAATAAAATATTAATGTTTACAGGAAAAATTGTTAGTACTTGCTTGAAAATCACTTAAAGCATTATATTATTGTGATTCAAAACTTCGTCTAAAATGCTTTTTAAGTTCCAAAACAGTTTTTAGAACCGATCAACGTCTCATCTTCCTTTTCATTTCATTCAGAGAATTTAAGAATTTAAATTTAAAAATGTTAAAATATTCTTAAACAAAATTTTGAAATGGTGTAAATACAACAAAATATTTATGCTGTGTTTATCTCCTAAAATAATGCATTTCACTATAATTTTAATATTAATCTAAAGGTATGTTGTCTGCATGTATATTTCTATATATACTATGTACAACAATAGTTTTGCATGAATTTTTGTTTTCTTTGGAAATGCTAAAATATAATTTTTCCTCATTATTTTCTATAAGTGTATGTATGTATTTTTATGTATATAGTAAAGTTTTGTTTTTTTAGAATCATAAGCTACAACCTAAGTTGATTTTTTATTTTAATATTTTTATGGAAATTTCCTTTATGTCTGACTCATTTGTTCAACATAATTATTTTAAGCGTTGTGTTACATTAGCTAGAGCCACAGCAAAAGCTTGTAATGCTGAAAATGGATACTGAAAATCTAAGGTATAGGCATTGCCATCTATTCGTCCAAATTGCATGACCTTTTTTAAAATAGAAAAAGAATGTAGTGAAATATATGTATATTTTTATTTAATTATATTTTAAAATTTACCTGTTTTCCACGAAATTCAATTTGGAAATTTTTTGCTGATTCTTGAGTAACACGACCGCCAAAGTCCAGTTGATAGACTTGACTCATTTCATTCCACATGGGCGCTTTATTGTGCATTACAAACTCCCGTCGCACAGGTGCTGGATTGCTGCAGTTGGAGGTGCCATTCGGTTCTATTCTTCCACGTTTTAACTAAAATATTAATACACAAATCAGTTAATTTGAAGAAAAAAATGTAAAAAGCCTTCTTTCTACCTTTTGTCGAAGTTGAGCCTTTTGAAATGTTTCTAAATCACGATACTGTTTACTACAACCATTATTTGAATTTTCCTCACCGGAACCATTCGTTCCATTGCCCTCGTCATCCGAACTATCAATAATGTTTTGTTTTTTATTTCGTTGGCGTCTAAGTAAAAGTGGCGAATTTAAAATATTACGTATAGGTGAACTGCTTTGGTAACGTTTATTCTTTTTGCTGCTTGCCGGTGAGGCGGGCGAACTGCGTGGCAAACGTTGTGGTGAGGAGGGTGGTGTTAAACGACCTTCATCCAGGTCTCTTAGTCTACTAATAATATTTTCTAAAGTTGTAAGGGCCTATATAAATGGAATAAGAAAATAAACTATTAGAAGTTATTGATCTTTATTTCTATTGCCACAACTACAATACCTGAGTATGCAGTGAAACAGAAGCTCTTGACTCTACAGGTGTAGCCTCTATCGCTATTTCATTACGGGAGTCAGTTAAGCGTTGCTCTTGATTATTCGTGGCATTTGAAGTCTGCTGTTTGCTTTCGCCGCCATTAGCTGTTTGTTTTGATTCCTTGCGTCTCCAACGTCCTTCGGTTAGTTGTTTGTATAAATTAAAACCATGTTCATTACGTCGTCCCAATGTGGGGGAAGATGTATCTGTGGAGTTGCGATTGCCAAAGCGGTGTTTTCGTGTGAAGAGAGGACTATCCGTAAAACTGGTTATAACATCAATTCTACGTTTTGGTAAACTTTCTGAAGATTTTTTGTTAAGCAATTCACTTTCGCTGGCGACCTCTTTGCTGGAGCTGACCTCTAGATCCAGTTTAATAATTTCATCACTTGATGTAGGAGATGTTTTGCAACGTTTACAATCTTCACTTGGATTGGGCACATTGGAGCAGGTGAAACAGGCTGTTTTGGCGGATGCTGTGCCTGCGGTTGAACTTTCTTTGATTTCGTTTAGTTTATCTAATTGTTTGCTAGTAGTTTTTGTTTGAGCTGACAACAAATCACAGGAATCTAAACTTTTAGATTTGCCCGTAAATAAAAGTTTAGGTTTATGTGGGTCCTGTTTAAAAAATACAAAATATTACGTTCAATAAGAATAATAAGGTATTCATGATTCTAACTTACCCCTTGTTGAGACTTTTTCTTACGATTTGTTTTTCGGTTATCCACCAATATCAGCCGCTTATTGGGAGCTTCTCTACGCAATGCAGTGAGAGCTTCATCGGATGGTGTTATGGCTACTGAATCCAAATAACCCACACTACAACTACGTGTTATGACATCGGGTACTGCAGGTGCTATCGACACCACGGTGGGTGTTCTTTTCATGGGATTTTCTATCACCGCTATAGGTGAAGGTGTAATAGCTGCTGCTCCCACTATCTGCGGCTGTACTATGGGCGATTGTGTTTCATCATCTATATAAAGTATATCGCGTTTTTTGGATGTCGATGGCAACTGCGTGGTTTTCAGTTTGTTTGCATCCATTCTTTCTAAATTAAGGTTAAGATTAAGAGGCACTGGATTGACATGACTGTTAGCTGAACGTATGGTTTCAGACATAAGAGCATTTTTAACCTGGACGACATTGTTGGCGTAGTCATTATTGCTGGAATATGACATAAGCGTCGTTTGGCCAGCTGCCGAAACGGCTGGTCGTTCAAATATAATATCAGTAGGAGCTACAGCATTTTTGGGTGATTGTAATGTTGGGACGGAACCATCGTTGAACAATGGCGATATGGCGTGACGTGATTGGCCACAAGAACCACCATTCGAACGTGAATAGCTAGAAGTTATGGTCTTGGGACGTAATATTTTGTGATTGTTTGAACTGTTATGCATAATGGCCGAGGCTGAGGTGGAGGGTAAAGCTTCTGGTGATTCACTAGTTGAATCATCATCATAAGATTCTGCTCTAGCCAAAGGACTTTTACCTTGGATACCCGACATTTGGTTACCATTCGGTGAATTCCTGTGTCTAGACAATAGGCGATTTGGCCTAGGTGACATTGGTGCTATGGGTGGTGCAATTTCATTAAGTTTTCTTGTTATTATATTTCCACCTCCTCCGGCGCATGCACCTCCACCGCCTCCACTATCAACAGGATTTGCTACTTCTGTGGCAGCTGCTGTTGTCTGCGTTCTCTTGGCCGCCGTATGATTTAACAAGTTCTCATCTTCGTCTTCAGAAAAGAGATTCGGATTAAAGCTGGGATCCGGTCCAAGTGGGAAATCATCTCTTAATTCGGTTATCACTAGAGTCATTTGACGGGGTTGCAAGTGCAGCAGGGACGTTTTATAGGTAACTTGGCCTAAGTTTGCCGGGACGGTTTTTGCAAGTCCATGTATTTTAAATTTGGTACCCCAAATATTAGAGGTAACCTCAACCAATTTCACTTCCTAAAATAGAAATTGAGTTTGGAATAAAACTATGCCTATGGGAAAACGTTAAATATTTACAAACCTCTGGTAGTGTATCCACATAAGCGAGTTCATCTAAAGCATCACCATTATCACTGCCAGTGGTAAGAGTATTTCTATCATTATTATTTGAGCCATGACGCTTTTGTTGACGTATCTTACGTTTACGAGGCGTATGAGGCGAGCCTCTTAAACGTTCCTCGTATTCACTGTCAGAAGAATCAGTACGACTTTTGGCGGTAGTGCTAGTCGATTGACTGGACGATGAAGAACTTTTCGAACTGGGAGAATGGTGGAAAAAGTCCGAAGATTCTGTAATAAACAAATTAAAAGTTCATAGTTTCTCTTTAAAGACTAATTATATTTATTTGTTACCATTCACTTGCGGATCGAATATAACAAATTCTGGACGTATTTTGGAAGTTCTTTTGCCTTTAAGCAACGGTACCAACCCGCCAAGATATTCCAAATATAGTGTATAACAGGTACCAGAACTAATATTTGAATCATCATCATGACGTATCATGGTGCAATGTAAACGCGTCGAACATATCGGCGGCCGGGAAACGAATTCTCTAAGAGATTTTAAATCAGGTACACAGCACTAAATATAACAAAAGTAAGATATAAGAATAAAACTAATGGAATTTTGTTGTGATTCACTTACTCGAATAGTTTGAGCAAATAAATTGCCAATAAGAGTCTTAATTCTTGAAGGCAAAGGCAACAATGGCAATAATGTTTCGGATCCTATACTAGCTTGTATTTGTAGACGACACAGTAACTGTAAAGAAGCCACACGTCTCGACACCCAAGCTATATGAACTTGGGTGCCTGTAGCAATAAACAAACGTTTATCATTGTGACCCCAGGTTAAGGCCGACACTGGTGCTGTCGAATTGGGTATATGGGCCTGATAAAGTAAAGCTCCTGTTTCTGTGTAAAATTTCAAAACATTTTCATACACCGTGCCATTAAGAGGATCATTAATGTTAACGGTTTTATTAGAGGTGCCGGCCACAGCCAAAAGTTCACGGGAATTACTCCATTCCATAACCATACCCAGAGACCCATCAAGGCCTGTATTGATATGTGAAGGTGAAACATCATCAAATGACTTGAGTAAATAAATAAAACCATTTTGAAAACTAACGGCCAAAACAAATGAACGTTTAGCTGGAATATAAAGAAAATATGGCACTAATCTTTAAAAAATATAAAAATTATTAACATACCGGCATTGGTCACACCCGGTTCTGATTCTTCACCCTCTTCCATTTTAAATTTCTCACAAGACCAAGACATGGATGTAATGCCAACATCATTGCACAATTGCACTTGAGAAACCATGGCACCATGAACATCCATGACTATCACTTGACCTTGCGTAGTGCCAAAGTACACCTGTTGATCATCCGGCGTCCAAATGCCACATGTTATAGTAGATTCTAAATTCAACATGGAAGACCAATAGCGCTGACCAGCCACAGATCCCACCAAAACGAAACCATCTTGATAACAAATGAGTGCCATACGACCATCATGCGACCACGAGAAGTGAGTTACCGGTGTATTACGATCATTTATAAGCTCTATGGACCATCTACCCTCGTATTTGATCCAAACGAATATAATACCAGAACTATCACAAGATGCCAATTTCTGATATGGTTCATTCCATTTGACAAGGATAACCTTAAAAGGGAATTTTGTATAAATTACATTTTTATTGTCTATTTAGTAAAACTTACGTCAGATCTGTGTCCCCTTAAATTGTAATTTGTACGTAAAGGATATTCAACATTTTTACGACAATGAGATGTTGTAAAAGTCACACCAACAATTCCTCGTACATTACCCGTTGCCAGCCAACCTTCCTGATAGTAGTTGGTACGATTTAACTTCCAGCCATCATCCTTGAAACAAAAAATAATTTTTCTATATTATACTTTCTAATTTTCTATTTTTAAAGAACGCAATCAAATTAACAATAATTATTTACATTATAAAATTATGTACTTTTTTTCGAAATTGTGCGAATAGTTTTTCAAATTTATTTAAAGCCAATTAAAAATTTAATTGAATCAACGAAAAATTTAATTGAATCAACAAACATGTTGATTAAAAAAAAAAAAAAAACATTAAATATTAATCGAGTTAAAGAAATCAACCTCAATACATATGTACGTACATAAATAATGCTAATATAGTGACTAATAAATGCTGTTCTTTACATTTGACGTTAGAAAAATCTTTGGCATCATGCTGCCTGTAATCAATTAAAAAAACAACACGAATCGATTGTTGATGTCTACATTATACGAAATTTAAAATTAAGCTTCTCAAGGTCGGTCGTCTTTTTATTGAAAGAAAGTGAGATTATTGAAAATGCCATTAGTAGGGGCAGAAAGTGGGGAAAATTTAAATTTAAGATATTGGCAATAAAATACAAATTCCCCCTTAAAGTTCAAAGGTCAAAAATATATAACAATTATTTGCTTTTCATTACAATGTACAAATTACAAGAAAACAAATAAATAAGATTTTCTAATGACGTATAAACAAATCAGATTTCAAAATAGACCTTAAATTTCAACAAACAACTTAATGAAACACATTTTTTTTATTCTATTCTATTGGGTTTTATCAATGAAAGCAAAAATTTATTAGCTATTTTTGGATATTGTTCAATAATGTGCAAATTTTATTGTTTTTATTTTTTTTGTTATTAATTGAATTTGTTCATGATCACAAAAATGTTAGCTCCAGGTTGTTCCAATTGTTTTGTATGCTACAAAAAAAAACAATTCAAAATGTGCATTGTATTGCAGGAACATCTGTTTCAGCAGGCGGTTTGCCAAAATAACCGAAATTTAGAATAAGTTACTTTTATGGCCCATTAAAAATAATATTAGTTTGGGAAGAAAATTGTTTCTGAAATTTACGTTTTTATTCTTTTATTTCAAGGGGTGTGTAAAACAATCACAAATGGAAATATATATATTCAGTATCGTTTTTATAAAAAAAATAATTTTTAATAAAATATCTTCGAACTAGAACTGAACAAGAACTGAACTAGAACTGACTAGAACTGAACTAGAACTGAACTAGAACTGAACTAGAACTGAACTAGAACTGAACTAGAACTGAACTAGAACTGAACTAGAACTGAACTAGAATTGAACTAGAACTGAACTAGAACTGAACTAGAACTGAACTAGAACTGAACTAGAACTGAACTAGAACTGAACTAGAACTGAACTGACCTGAACTAGAACTGAACTGACCTGAACTAGAACTGACCTGAACTAGAACTGAACTAGAACTGAAGTAGAACTGAACTGAACTAGAACTAGAACTGAACTAGAACTGAACTAGAACTGAAATAGAACTGAACTAGAACTGAACTAGAACTGAACTAGAACTGAACTAGAATTGAACTAGAACTGAACTAGAACTGAACTAGAACTGAACTAGAACTGAACTAGAACTGAACTAGAACTGAACTAGAACTGAACTAGAACTGAACTAGAACTGAACTAGAACTGAACTAGAACTGAACTGAACTAGAACTGAAGTAGATTTGATATTTCAATCATATACATATATCGTCTGTCTGCTGCATTAGTATTAAAATGAACTAGAACTGAACTAGAACTGATCTAGAACTGAAGTAGATTTGATGGTTCAAATCTAGTTCAGTTTAATAATATTTCAATCATATACATATATCGTCTGTCTGCTGCATTAGTATTAAAATATTAGTATTAAACTATAACTATACAATGAAACTCCGAAATTATTTTTTTACTAAACCAATATTTTGTATAATTATTAAAAGAAAGAAAAAAAAACATTTAAAACTTTTAGCCTTAAATTATTTTGTTTTATTGAATGTCGTACATTCTTAGGAAAAGTCACAAATGTGCCTCAACCCACTAATAAACAAACATTAAAAATAAATTAAAATTGTTGTTCTTGTTTCTTTTGTTTTTTAAGAGAATCAAAATCACATTGTAGAACTTTAAGAAAAAAAAACAAAGTGTTTTAAAAATAGCTCAATTTTAAATAAATCTATTTAGAAAACATAATCAAGTTTATTTTTACTGTAAATATAATCGAATGATTAATAAGGTCAATGTCATTGGCGTAAAGAACAGCGGCAAAAATTGAGTAAAAACACGAAAGAAAATTTCAAATTTAATAAAAACGTATGAAAAATCAAACATATCTTTCAAACTTCCTCCGGCCAAATCAGGCGTAACCGCAATCATTGAAAAACTTTATATTTATTTTCAATTTTAGCATGAAAGCAGCAAATTGATGTTTTTGTTTGTTTTTAATTGAAAGCAAATGTGTGCTTAAAAAAATATATATTCTTGTTTATTTTATTTGTTTTTTTTTTTCAAAATTATAAGTGCATTTATTATATTAATAAAACTAAAGTACATATTTTACTCTTTAAAACAAAAGCAAACAAAATTATATTTTCTAAAAATGCTCAATGAGCATCATAAAATAAAATTTAAAAATAAAAGAAAAATATGGTTTTAAGTATTTTATTCTATCAAATCACTATACGACTGCAAATACGTTGTAGATTTTGGTTTTTATTTTTAAAGAAAAGCAAATTTTGAAATTTTTGCTTATAGCTTTTCATGTTTTCACCAAAATCTTCTAAATCAGTTCTCGCGAAACATCAACAACAAACGTTTCAATTTTAAAAAAGATTTCGGACTATACAAAATAAGAATAATTATAAGAAAAAGATAAAAATATTAAATACTAAAAATACTACTGTGTGTCGTACAGATACTCAAAGTGTATTAAGAATATATCATCATAAATACAAAAATAACATTTATGTACGAAATTATTTTATATTTAATATAATTTATGGTTTCGAATCGTTCCAATGAAAGACAAAATGTATTCGTCTTTTAGCACTTCCTTGTGCTTCATTTTAATTTTGTTTGCAAATTTTGTAATTCAAGTGGAAAATAAATCTGTTTTTGGTATCGGCACCAGAATAATTGGCGATCAATTGTTATTGAAAGATATTCTTCAAACGCCGCCAATAAGTTTAACTGAAGAACCTGTCATTAAGTTTAATTACGCCATTGTTGAACCAATTACATATATTGAAATTGAATCAGATAAGGTGAGTTTTAAATTTAGGTCGCAAGCAGTAACTATTAATTTTTTAATTGTATTTTGGCAAGATTATTTTCCAAGTAAATTAAATTATTTTCCAATAATTAGACCAAAAATTTTAAATATTTTCATAATCGTTTCAAAATAAACGAGTTCGTGTAAACATTTTACAATAAATTTGAGCTAAATATCTTAAAAGTTTGTTTAAATTAAGTATTTTAATTTTGTAACAAATTAGGTAAATATACTATAGCTAGAATTTCACCATTTTTTTACACCATTTGCTACAGAAGAATCTTAAAATAAACGTTAGATATTCGTTTTTAAACTTTTAAATAGTATTAATTAAGTTTTTACTACAATTTTGCAAAAAAAAATTGTACATCCATCCGCCGTTCTGCTTCAGTTCTAGTTCAGTTCTAGTTCAGTACTAGTTCAGTTCAGTTCTAGTTCAGTTCTAGTTCAGTTCTAGTTCAGTTCTAGTTTAGTTCTAGTTCAGTTCTAGTTCAGTTCTAGTTCAGTTCTAGTTCAGTTTTAGTACAGTTCTAGTTCAGTTCTAGTTCAGTTCTAGTTCAGTTCTAGTTCAGTTCTAGTTCAGTTCTAGTACAGTTCTAGTTCATTTCTAGTACAGTTCTAGTTTAGTTCTAGTTCTAGTTCATTTCTAGTTCAGTTCTAGTTCAGTTCTAGTACAGTTCTAGTTCAGTTCTAGTTCAGTTCTAGTTCAGTTCTAGTTCAGTTCTAGTTCAGTTCTAGTTCAGTTCTAGTTCAGTTCTAGTTCAGTTCTAGTTCAGTTCTAGTTCAGTTCTAGTTCAGTTCTAGTTCAGTTCTAGTACAGTTCTAGTTCAGTTCTAGTTCAGTTCTAGTTCAGTTCTAGTTCAGTTGTAGTTCAGTTCTAGTTCAGTTCTAGTTCAGTTCTAGTACAGTTCTAGTTCAGTTCTAGTTCAGTTCTAGTTCAGTTCTAGTTCAGTTCTAGTTCAGTTCTAGTTCAGTTCTAGTTCAGTTCTAGTTCAGTTCTAGTTCAGTTCTAGTTCAGTTCTAGTTCAGTTCTAGTTCAGTTCTAGTTCAGTTCTAGTTCAGTTCTAGTTCAGATCTAGTTCAGTTCTAGTTCAGTTCCAGTTTATTTTTATAATTTTTTTTATAGAAGTACATTTTTATTCGCTACTTTTATCAATATTCATCATTTTCTCTTTCTTCATGCTCTTCCCTTTCTTTTCCCTTTCTTCAACCACCACCTTTTCCCAGAATGTCTATGCTATAGTCAATTTTAGTTATGAAGACAATCTTGTTGAAGGTACAATTTCCTCTATAAATGGCCAGCAACAACTACAAGAGGAAGGTGTTAGTAAACCAGAACCCTTTGAGGTCCTTATACAAATCTATGGATTTAATCGGACAATGCTTAATGTCAGTCCCGCTTATATACTCAATAAAGATCAACAATTTAATGGCGTCTTAAAACCAAATTATCAACAAAAATCTCTAAGTTTAATGCAAGAAGATTTAAATGATTTAGATGAAGAATATGATGAAGACGATGCTATTGACGATGATGATACTGATGATAACGACAATATTGAATATGAGGAGGAAGATGAATTTGATGACAATTATGATAAAGTCATCGAACAGGGTCAACGACAAGAAGGTAAGTACATGATAAATTTGTTTAATGTAATTGAATGATTGATGTGATTATTTTTCTTTTGATTTATTTTTTACAAAGGGGATTTTCTTGTTTATGAAACTAATCAAACGTCTGCTACAACAACAGAATTACCAACAAATCATTCTCTTACGTTTTATTACATTGATATTTATTATATTACTTATGTGAAATTTACTATCTACGAGGTAAGAGTGATTAGATATATAATATAGCCAAATTTAATTTGTAAAGCTTTCTAATCTGATCTAAATTAACATATCCCATAAATATTAAAGTTATTATTAAATGAATCTTAAAATTTTGCAATTTTTCAGTCCGGAATTAAAAAAAATTCAAACGTATTTAACATTTATCGCTATTTTCAATAATTTATCAAAAATTCCATCTATTGAAATTTTCATAATTGACTGCCAACTGTTTATAAATACTTTCACATATCTTTGCAGCACTATTTATATCATTCCATAAATGATTATGGTGATACATACGTTGTGGAATATGGACACATTTCACCGACCACCCTTAAAGCTGTTGTCACAGATCATCGCACAACAAGTTTATTTGTACAAATGCAAATGTATGGCTTCCATCCAACTGCACTACCTGTTGACTATAAACCATTTTTGTCAAATAGCCAAACATCAGCTGCAACAGCAAGACCAATATCATCATTGAGAAAACTTCAAATACTTATGAATTCCCAGCAATCGTCAGCAAATGCACAACAGCAGCATCCAACGGAATTGGGTCACCAAATAGCCCCCAATAATAATAGTAACAACAACAATTGTATGCAACAAGTTTTATCAGCGTCATCGAATAATATTGGCAATGATTGCCTAAGTATTTTTGCTCATTGGTCCATATTTAATTTGATTGTGACAATCTTTGTGACAATGTCTTTTATGTAAAGGTGATGATTTCTTTGTTGATTACTACTTTAATTATTTATATTTTACTTAATATTTAAGATTTGTGAAAATTGTGTGTATTTATGTATGTTACTAAGTAAATGTGAGTATTAAAATTATAAATATAAATTATACATATTATATTATTTTTGAGATTACTTTTAAAAAAGGAGCAGATGTAATGGTTAGGTTATTGGTTGCATTGGCTGGTTCTCTATATATAGATGCTTTAGTTCAGTTCTAGTTCTGTTCTAGTTCAGTTCTAGTTCAGTTCTAGTTCAGTTCTAGTTCAGTTCTAGTTCAGTTCTAGTTCAGTTCTAGTTCAGTTCTAGTTCAGTTCTAGTTCAGTTCTAGTTCAGTTTTAGTTCAGTTTTAGTTCAGTTCTAGTTCAGTTCTAGTTCAGTTCTAGTTCAGTTCTAGTTCAGTTCTAGTTCAGTTCTATTTCAGTTCTAGTTCAGTTCTAGTTCAGTTATAGTTCTAGTTCAGTTATAGTTCTAGTTCAGTTATAGTTCTAGTGCAGTTTTAGTTCAGTTCTAGTTCAGTTCTAGTTCAGTTCTAGTTCAGTTCTAGTTCAGTTCTAGTTCAGTTCTAGTTCAGTTCTACTTCAGTTCTAGTTCAGTTCTAGTTCAGTTCTAGTTCAGTTCTAGTTTAGTTCTAGTTTAGTTCTAGTTCAGTTCTAGTTCACTTCTAGTTCAGTTCTAGTTCAGTTCTAGTTCAGTTCTAGTTCAGTTCTAGTTCTAGTTCAGTTCTAGTTCAGTTCTAGTTCAGTTCTAGTTCACTTCTAGTTCACTTCTAGTTCACTTCTAGTTCAGTTCTAGTTCAGTTCTAGTTCAGTTCTAGTTCAGTTCTAGTTCAGTTCTAGTTCAGTTCTAGTTCAGTTCTAGTTCAGTTCTAGTTCAGTTCTAGTTCAGTTCTAGTTCAGTTCTAGTTCAGTTCTAGTTCAGTTCTAGTTCAGTTCTAGTTCAGTTCTAGTTCAGTTCTATTTCAGTTCTAGTTCAGTTCTAGTTCAGTTCTAGTTCAGTTCTAGTTCAGTTCTAGTTCAGTTCTAGTTCAGTTCTAGTTCAGTTCTAGTTCAGTTCTAGTTCAGTTCTAGTTCAGTTCTAGTTCAGTTCTAGTTCAGTTCTAGTTCAGTTCTAGTTCAGTTCTAGTTCAGTTCTAGTTCAGTTCTAGTTCAGTTCTAGTTCAGTTCTAGTTCAGTTCTAGTTCAGTTCTAGTTCAGTTCTAGTTCAGTTCTAGTTCAGTTCTAGTTCAGTTCTAGTTCAGTTCTTGTTCAGTTCTAGTTCAGTTCTTGTTCAGTTCTAGTTCAGTTCTAGTTCAGTTCTAGTTCAGTTCTAGTTCACTTCTAGTTCACTTCTAGTTCACTTCTAGTTCAGTTCTAGTTCAGTTCTAGTTCAGTTCTAGTTCAGTTCTAGTTCAGTTCTAGTTCAGTTCTAGTTCACTTCTAGTTCACTTCTAGTTCAGTTCTAGTTCAGTTCTAGTTCAGTTCTAGTTCAGTTCTAGTTCAGTTCTAGTTCAGTTCTAGTTCAGTTCTAGTTCAGTTCTAGTTCAGTTCTAGTTCAGTTCTAGTTCAGTTCTAGTTCAGTTCTAGTTCAGTTCTAGTTCAGTTCTAGTTCAGTTCTAGTTCAGTTCTAGTTCAGTTTTAGTTCAGTTCTAGTTCAGTTCTAGTTCACTTCTATTTCATTAGAATTTATAATTCGTTTTAAATGTTATTGAGTTCAATTCATAAATTATATAATCTATTTTTGTACCGAATAACGTGTGCTGCAATGCAAATCTAAATAATGTATGAATTTTTAATTTTGCACTTACCTCTGGTATGTCATCTGGTACTTTTCCCATCCAGGATAATGATAATATTGTACAATCGCATTTTGTATTTGTGTTGCGTTCAAAATGTAGATGCATTATTTTTATTTCTTTCTTTTGTTAGTATAAATTAAGTTCTTTTTATTTTTCTTATTTTGTGGTTGTGTTGAACAAAATTTTTATTTGCAAAAATTTTCTACTATAAATTCTTGTTAAGCTAACTACGTTTATGTAAGTTTTCCTTTATTTTTTATTATTTGTTAAGTTTAATTTTATTTTGTTTTTCTCTCAATAACTTCCGCTTGTAAACGTCATCATCATCATTGTAAACAGCAAGCTGTGTGTGTCAACATAATCTATCTTTTTTGTTTTTTGTTTTGTATCTAGCAATGAAAACCCTGTGGCAGCATTCTTTCCTGCAATAAAAGTTAGAAAAAAAGGAAATTGTTATAAAATAGACATTAAAAACAAACTACAGGATGTAATAATTTTGATGAACGAACATGTTTGTCGATGTCATTATAATAGTTAGTTTGATGAGTTGATTCAATACGTCTATGTGTACATATTGTATGTGTGTTTATGTGTTTGTACGACAAAATGCTTGGATGGATTGATGTATAGGTAGTATGAAAAGTCTTGATATTATCAATATCATTATTGCCATTATCATTATCATCAGCACCACCGCCTCATCATAGTTGTTAATTTTTGTATTATTATAAAATAATAAATGTGCAACAGACCGTTAACAAGAGTAAAAGGTAATTGACAAATTTACCACCTACTTACTAACAACAGAACGGAAATAGGAAATAAAAAAACAAACAAATTTACAGGTTTATAAAAAATGTATTGATAGATAGGATACTGTAATTGCCTATATATATATATGTATATAGATAGATATATAGATAATATATATATATATATATATATATATAGATAGATATATATATATATATATATATATATATATATATATATATATATATATATATATATATATATATATATATATATATATATATATATATATATATATATATATATATATATATATATATATATATATATATATATATATTATGTGAATATGGTCAAATATCAATATGTACAGACATATTTATGCAGTCAAGTTTTTTATTTAAATAAAATTCAATAAGCTTTCAATTTTTTATGTTATATGTCTGAAGATTTGTAAATGTACTAACCAATGGAATAACTGGAACTCGTGCCGGAAAAGTGTAAAATTGTGTAAATATTTTTATTTGATTTCTTTAAAAGATGTGCCATTAAAATTATATTTTCTTAACATTTCGATCAAATCTTATAAAGGACAAACAACAATCGTTTTTAGTTTTACTGAAATAGAAAATACATTTTTATACTATCTCTCTTTGCTGATCTAGATCAAGGGACAAAAAGGTCCTTTTTTTAGGTTTTCATTATTTTGTTCACATTTCTTACAAAGAAAATATGATATCATATGAAAGGTCTTCAAAATGTGCTTTCAAATTCTTATGAAAGTTTTGTGTGTTTATTACAAAAGTATTAACAGATTTTCCCCAATGTTTTTGGATTTATTTTTATTAAAAAAAAATTATTGAATATTTAAATAAATAACTGAATACTCCTTTTTAAATTCGATTTTTGTTGGAAACAAAAGGTTCTAAAATTTACTGTAAATGCTGAAATAACACCCAAAATGACTAATTAGCTAAAATTACTTAAATTTTCCATCAAAAATCGTTTTTTATAAGAAAAATATAAAATCTGCTGTAGATCCTGAGAAAATAGCAAAAATTTAAAAGAATTTCTAAAGAAAATAGCCTCTGGCACTAGGGCTTGAAAAGTAAATAATAAATATCCCTTAAATTCAGGTTTTCTTACATAAGTAATTTCTAAAGTTTGTAATTTAAACCCAAAAATATATATGCTATTCATGTAGAATATGGAAATAATATTTTAATAAAGCCGCTAGCAAAAGTAACAAAACCGGAATTGTTTTTCTTTCATTTTAAAAAAGAAAAGTTTTACTTCACGTATTCTGTTTTTACCCAAAAACCGAAAATGACTTAATTAAAACAAGGAGAATACTTGTAAAACGCTTGTTTGCTTTTGGAAAATATTTATTTTGTGTCCTGACAGAAAAATCTATACATAGTACATACAAACTTAACACGTACACATACAATTTTACAAATATAAATAAATAATGTATGTTTGTGTGTGACTGTTTGTGTAATATTTATTGACTGCACCCTTGTAAAACTAAACTAAAATACAATTTATTGAACATGGTGACGTATGAGCTACATACACTCGAGTGTTTGTTTTTGTTACGTTTTTATACAATAACGACAAATTTCATTTTACAAAAATTACAATATTTTGCATGTTTAACAAATAATTCGATAGCGCGACCTTCTCAGAAAACCACTTTGTCCTTTAGCAATGATTGAAAAATGTATTAACGAAGCAAAAACAATAAAAAACAAACAATTTGCCAATATGAACGAGTATATACAATTTGAATACAATAAATAATTTGTTTCCGTTTTTTACCTCTCTACACTATTGCTTTTGCTACAACAACTACTCAATAAAATTAAATAAATTATTTGTGGAAATATACACAACAACAACTCGTTAATTTAATAACAAAAAAAAACAAACAAATAACCCGTCGTAAAGTCCTTTTTATACTACATTCGCAAATACTTAATTTCGACAAAACGTCACCGCCGTCGACGTTACTTTTCTGAAAGAAAATGACAACTACAACATGACAACAACAAATATAATCAGAAATATTTAGGAGTATAATGTATGTATATGTATGTACGTGTGTAGTGTGACCGACACCCAATGCTAGTTAACAGTAAATCTCACTGTTGTTGCTAGTGAAGTGTACGAATATTTGTCGACAAATTTAGTTTGAGGGGGGATGATGTTGGGGTGGTGACATGCTTTTGAACAACAACAACAAAGAGGGAAAAACAAACAAAAAGTAAAGTGGAGCCTGGTGTAGACATTTTAACATATAAAAAAACAAAAGAAGTTGAAAACAGACGAGTTAACTAGAGTTGCCAGAGGAAGATTATGTATTTTAGTACCATTTTTCAATTTAAAAATTTCCCTAAGAAGTTTTATTGGTATTAAATAACACAGGCCAACGATTTTTTAAACCAGAGACCACAGTATACTTTTTTAAAGGATTGCCTCAAAATTTATCCATCACAGCACCTTTCCAGATAGCTTTTCACGAAGTTTTAGAAAAAAAAACATTTTGGCCCTTTTTTAGACGCTATGATAGCGCGAAGACCCCTTGTTTTCTGAAAGTCCAATCTGTCGACTATAAAGTAATTATTCCCATAAAAAGGCTATAATAATTGAGTATAAATCTCTTGAATTTGCTAAGATATTGCCCTTTGAAGTTTTTGGTGTGAAATAATGGTAATATAAAATTGTTTGAAATTGATAGGAATTTAAAACGTTTAGTTAAGATAATTCGAAGAAGAGGATATAACAGTGGATAAACCTTTATGATAAAGTCGTTAGATTGGACTTACAGATGACATATCATCATAAATCAATAAAAAAGTTGTACATGCATATATATTCGGTTAAGTCTGACTGTATAAGTTATCACACACATACATATGTATATAAAGCAATTTTCGTAAATAGGATGACTGTGATAAAATTTTATATATGTAGTACTTCCCGAGCCTAAAACGCATTTCTTTGAAATATTTGCTATCGTGTGAAATGAAATTAAACAAACCAATATAAAATTTGATAAATTTAAATCTTATCTGAAAAATTATAAAATTTTCAATATTTTCTCAAAAACCATTCACGTAATATCATACAAATATGAAAAAATTGGAAAACCCTTAAAAGAGGACTACATTGATCCAAGGACAACATTTTGAAAATTTTAATGAACGTTCGTTTTCCGTGGGAGTATCAGTTACTTATTTGTTCTATGTGTGTGAAGTTAAATTCGAATTTAACTAGCAGAGACACAAACCACATTTTTTAACATTGCTCTTTTTGCAGCTAACAGAGCACTGTTAAGCATTTAACAGAAAGTACATGAAAAATTAAAAATATATACTTTAAAATTTTCAGAAAATGAAAAACAAAAATTTCAGAACTTAAAAAAATATGAAAAATAAAAAAAATATTTTTTGAATAAAATCAATATTTTAATAAAAAAGATTAAAAATTCTCTAAAAAATCAATATTTCAATAAGAAAAATGTTAAAAATTCTCTAAAGGATTGGTGTCCAATTTGGACAAATATGGAAATGCACACGTATACCACTATATAGGTGTAGTAGTCTGAAGGGTCCTTAACAGGATTCCGGTAGTCATATGTCTGGAATAGTTTTGGAAGTTTTTTAAAAAATTTTGGAAAAAATCAATATTTCAATAAGAAAAATGTTAAAAATTCTCTAAAGGATTGGTGTCCAATTTGGACAAATATGGAAATGCACACGTATACCACTATATAGGTGTAGTAGCCTAAAGGGTCCTTAACAGGATTCCGGTAGTCATATGTCTGGAATAGTTTTGGAAGTTTTTTAAAAAATTTTTGAAAAAATCAATATTTCAATAAGAAAAATGTTAAAATTCTCTAAAGGATTGGTGTCCAATTTGGACAAATATGGAAATGCACACGTATACCACTATATAGGTGTAGTAGTCTGAAGGGTCCTTAACAGGATTCCGGTAGTCATATGTCTGGAATAGTTTTGGAAGTTTTTTAAAAAATTTTTGAAAAAATCAATATTTCAATAAGAAAAATGTTAAAAATTCTCTAAAGGATTGGTGTCCAATTTGGACAAATATGGAAATGCACACGTATACCACTATATAGGTGTAGTAGCCTAAAGGGTCCTTAACAGGATTCCGGTAGTCATATGTCTGGAATAGTTTTGGAAGTTTTTTAACAAATTTTTAAAAAAATCAATATTTCAATAAGAAAAATGTTAAAATTCTCTAAAGGATTGGTGTCCAATTTGGACAAATATGGAAATGCACACGTATACCACTATATAGGTGTAGTAGTCTGAAGGGTCCTTAACAGGATTCCGGTAGTCATATGTCTGGAATAGTTTTGGAAGTTTTTTAAAAAATTTTTGAAAAAAATCAATATTTCAATAAGAAAAATGTTAAAATTCTCTAAAGGATTGGTGTCCAATTTGGACAAATATGGAAATGCACACGTATACCACTATATAGGTGTAGTAGTCTGAAGGGTCCTTAACAGGATTCCGGTAGTCATATGTCTGGAATAGTTTTGGAAGTTTTTTAAAAAATTTTTGAAAAAATCAATATTTCAATAAGAAAAATGTTAAAAATTCTGAATCCTGTTAAGAACCCTTTAGGCTACTACACCTATATAGTGGTATACGTGTGCATTTCCATATTTGTCCAAATTGGACACCAATCCTTTAGAGAATTTTTAACATTTTTCTTATTGAAATATTGATTTTTTCAAAATTTTTTTAAAAAACTTCCAAAACTATTCCAGACATATGACTACCGGAATCCTGTTAAGGACCCTTCAGACTACTACACCTATATAGTGGTATACGTGTGCATTTCCATATTTGTCCAAATTGGACACCAATCCTTTAGAGAATTTTTAACATTTTTCTTATTGAAATATTGATTGTTTTCAAAATTTTTTTAAAAAACTTCCAAAACTATTCCAGACATATGACTACCGGAATCCTGTTAAGGACCCTTCAGACTACTACACCTATATAGTGGTATACGTGTGCATTTCCACATTTGTCCAAATTGGACACCAATCCTTTAGAGAATTTTTAACATTTTTCTTATTGAAATATTGATTTTTTCAAAAATTTTTTAAAAAACTTCCAAAACTATTCCAGACATATGACTACCGGAATCCTGTTAAGGACCCTTTAGGCTACTACACCTATATAGTGGTATACGTGTGCATTTCCATATTTGTCCAAATTGGACACCAATCCTTTAGAGAATTTTAACATTTTTCTTATTGAAATATTGATTTTTTCAAAAATTTTTTAAAAAACTTCCAAAACTATTCCAGACATATGACTACCGGAATCCTGTTAAGGACCCTTTAGGCTACTACACCTATATAGTGGTATACGTGTGCATTTCCATATTTGTCCAAATTGGACACCAATCCTTTAGAGAATTTTTAACATTTTTCTTATTGAAATATTGATTTTTTCAAAAATTTTTTAAAAAACTTCCAAAACTATTCCAGACATATGACTACCGGAATCCTGTTAAGGACCCTTCAGACTACTACACCTATATAGTGGTATACGTGTGCATTTCCATATTTGTCCAAATTGGACACCAATCCTTTAGAGAATTTTTAACATTTTTCTTATTGAAATATTGATTTTTTAGAGAATTTTTAATCTTTTTTATTAAAATATTGATTTTATTCAAAAAATATTTTTTTTATTTTTCATATTTTTTTAAGTTCTGAAATTTTCGTTTTTCATTTTCTGAAAATTTTAAAGTATATATTTTTAATTTTTCATGTACTTTCTGTTAAATGCTTAACAGTGCTCTGTTAGCTGCAAAAAGAGCAATGTTAAAAAATGTGGTTTGTGTCTCTGCTAGTTAAATTCGAATTTAACTTCACACACATTATTTGTTCTTCATATACACATATATATGTACATACACATATGTATTTATGAATGACCACTTTGAGTTAAATCAAATCTTAAAATTAATTTTTTGTATAAGAAATTAATAAAAGTTAAAGCAACCGATTTGATTACAGTTTGGAGTGTTAGGGATACCAATTGGTAAAAATTTTCACCGGAATTTCACCTTTAAAAATTATGATTTTAGTATTTTTCCTCAATTCTACAATTACGTTTTAGTAAATCCGTTATGTAAATACCGATTCCTTAAATATTGGTTGGATTACCAACAATTATAATGTCCAAAGACAGATATTTGTATGGAGGTCAGATAAAATAATTAACCGGTTCTACCCTGTTTTAATAGGATTCGTTCTAGACATACAAACTAATAAAAAAAGTGATTCAAAGATAGTTCCAATATATCGACTAGGTATATTACCCCCACCTATAAAGTCCTAGGTTGTAAAAATGATGTACCTATATATTTTTATTTTAACGATCCAAACGTTTAATATGAATTAATCGAACAAAAATGTACACACAATTTTTTTTTAGTTTCCCAAGATAAATAAATCTAGCCAAAATTCTTAACCCTGAAATTTCGAATGAATCTAAAATTATTACTTCTGTCACCTTGAAATTGCACAAACAAATATTACAAAATTAAAATATTTTTCTTTTAAATAAGTATTAAGTTTATTCACATTGACAAGTGTCTTGAGCTTAAAAACTTTAGGTCTTATTTATAAACAGAGTTTTATTTTATAAACGATTTATAAAACAAATTTTGTATGGAAATTTTGTTTTATAACCCTTTTATAAAATAAAATGATGTTTATGAATAAGGGGGTATATATGCAATATACATATGTATGTATGTACATTAGGGTGGCCCGTTTGTAGTTTTCCAAAAGTTTTATCCTGGGGTCAATATTTAAAAAAGGTACTGTTTTAAGGTTTTTCGAATTCTTTTCGTGTTTCAAGCAAAGGAATGATAAAAAATATTGATATCTTGTGAAAGATCTTTGAGAGGCGCCTCATTTTTTTGTGCTAGTTCAAAAATGTTGAAAATATGTACTGTTTAATTTATTTAATTTTATAACGTCAGTACAAAAATTTTAAAATCTTAAAATTAACTAATTTTTCATTTTTTACATAGATTCGTAAAACAATTCTTATTGGAATACTTTAAGTAAAGTTTAATTCACTTAAAACCCGAGTTTTAAACATTAAATAAAACTTAAAACTTTGATTTCCCCACCATCAACAACTTCCACCTATTCAACTAAAAAATATCTTAATTTTTCTGGCAACTCTTCAAAGGAAGAGAATTAAGGAAATAGAAAAATGTGTGTAAGTATGTGTGTATATGGACTTACCTTTTTTATTGTAGTACACTAGCTGACTGGACTTGGGGCGTAACTAATACTATCCACATCACTAACAAGTTGAAGAAAATGTCAAACAAATTCATCAACATTTTAAAATAATTGGCCACTTTTTCTTATGTTACATTCTTTTTGTTTTATATTACAAATATGCATTTCATATTTTATTCTTTAGTAAATACAAATTTTTTCACATTTTTTCATTACTTATGATGGATAAAAAGTGTACACTTGAACACGTACAAACAAACAAAATGTACACAAAAACATACACTTACAAGTGTAGCAAGCAGCATTGAGATACTAATATAAATAAAGCTTCTTTATTCTATGGATTATTTTTTATATTTTCTATGTTGTAAGAAGAAAAAAGTGTTTTCTTACAACACACAACACAACAGCAGCAGAACACTAAAACTGAATGATTTTGATGGGTGACTGTTTCGCAATCCAATTATATTAGCATACACTTGGTAAAAAAATAAAAAAATGACAACAGCAACAGCAAAATTTTGAAGAAAAAAACTATATTTAAACAAGGAACTTCCGAAACCAACAACAACTAATAATTATAAATTTTTTACTCTACATAACACGACCCGACAACGTCCAAAAGGAGACGACTACTAACTAATTGTCACCAGGCTGTGTAACAGCAAAAATACAAAGGAAAAAAATATTCACACTAGTCAAATTATCACAAGAGCGCACGCCAGAGAGTGGGAGAGCAAAATAAGCACATGCTAAACGTATAGAGAGTGTGTTGGTATTATAACAGTAGCTTTTTGTTTTTAACAACTAACGGAATTTTGTAAGATTTTTGTTGTGAATTGTTGTTGTTCGGTTAAACTTTTTCTCTTGGTTTGTTGAATTTTGTTTTGTTTTTCTTATTTCTTGTTGTTGTATTATTCTACATACTTCGTTTATAAGAATGTTTGTCGTCTGTTGAAAAATTGGAAAAATCGATTTTTCCAATTGTTGTAACGGGCAGTGGCATTTATTTAATGTTTTTTTTATGTACTACGTGCTTGATTTTTTCTTTTATTATTTGTATACGCTTGTTAGGACGGTTAAATTCATTCATTATTATATCAACATATACAAAAATAAGTTATTTTTTGCTTAATTTTTATTTTATTAAAAAGTGATATTTAATTTTTAATAGTAATAATTCTAATAAAAAATATTTAGTTATTTTAGGGGATTTTTTTGTTTTTTCTTAGTTATAGTTATATTTAAGTTAAATTTGTTTTTTTTTATTTATTCTTGTTTATAACACTTAGTAATTCCTTTTGAGTGTGTTTCTTGCGCTAAACTTAGTAAAATACTGATTGACAAATTGTATAATTTACTCCTTGAACTCTCAGTTTGAAAAACAAAAAAGCTTCAGTTTTATATCATTTAATGTGGGATTTTCACTGAATATTATTTTACACTGTTTCCTAAGAGGTATAATTTTGCTCTTAGCGACATAAAATACTAAAAATATATTCAATATATTCAAATATTGAACGAAAATATCGTGTCCTCTAAAAAATCGACCAATATTTTAAGACGTAAATGTACTAGCTTGAGAATTCTATAAATGTTCAAATAAGCAATTTTAAATAACATGTGTTATAGTTATAGGTATATAGTTATATTGACGAATGGTATCTTAGAAAGAAATAAATTTTCGGCGGAAACATTAGTATTTTCCATTTTGGGGACAATCGAATGTACACAGATTTGAGGAAAAGTATAAATTTTGATATAATTTTACAAGCTTAATTAGCAATTATTAAATAAAGCATGATTTAAATATTTTTGATTTTCCCTTTGAATTAAGTCTACAGACTACTATATTGAGCAGTCTATAGACCAATCTATAGACTTGTCAACAAATAGTTGGATAATAGAATGATGTTGTATATACAACCGTTGATTTGAATGTAGTTTTATAGCGTTTATCATAACTTTATTTTTAATAAAAATATCACTAAATTAAATTAAAATTTTCCGTTATCATTTACATACCCTTTAACGGATATAATCTTCAAAATGTACTTACAATGTTAATTTACATAATGTAAACACGTCTTTATATACAGATACTGTAAAAACGGCCAAATTTAAAACTGTTATTAACACTTGTGTTGTTAACTTTTTTTATAAATCATGTAAAATTTACTTTAAAAATCGCTTAAATTGATAAACAACTTAAATTACTGTGGTCTTAAATATTTTTAAATCTACATGTAGGAAATATTAAGTTTTATTAAAAAAATTATAAGAATTAGTGTAGGTATTTATTACTTTTAAACATTTTTAATATTTTTTTGAAAATTAAACCTAGGGCTTTCAGTCATAATAATATTTAATCCCAACATTTTATTTTATAAAATAATTGTTTTTTATGTATAAGACCTTAAAGGTCTAAAGCAATTATTCTAGTTTTTGTATATAAACGATAATATTAAATATATAATACTAACATTAATCTTAAAATATTTCTTGAATTGATTTTTTGTCTGTTTCTCATCAAAAACACTTGTTTTCTTTTTAACTACGAAAAATCGCCAGAATTAAATCATTACTATAATATATTCAATAGTAAAATCGCTGAATTACCATCATTGGCCGCTGTCAACGGGAGAAATTAGTTCACTCACCTGAAAAGCAAAAAACGAAAAAAAGTTATAAAAATATTTTACCAATAAAAAATATAATTATTTTTCTTTCATTTGTTTTTAATAAATAAATAGAAAATGATGTGTTAATTGTACGTAGTATTATTGAAAGTATTTCTATATTTAATTATTGGCAAATCTATTACACAATGAAAACAAAAGTCAAGTGCGTTGTCTGTGAAAAATAATAAAAGAACGGACGGAAAAAGAGAAAGAAAAAATATCCAACCAGCAAGAGTAGAAATAGAAAGCCAACCAACAAAACTTCCAAATTAAATTATTTTAACAAATCACAAAAAAGAATAGGCAAACATCAGAATATGAATATATAGATTATTTTTTAAAAAGACAAAAATATGTTTTAAACAAAATAAAAAAAAAAAACGAAACAGAAAAATTATTGAACCATGTTCAAGAACAACAAAAACCTTTTAATAATTTGAGTGTGAAAACGACAACAGCAGCAGCGGCAGTAGCAGCAGCAACAACAAAAAAGACTTAAATAGTAATTGGATAAAAGACAAAAACAACAAGAAACACAATAAGATGTGTGTAAATAACACACTGAAGCAGCGGCAACAATACAAACACCAGCAAATTGACGAAGACGACGACGATGATGAGGGAACAACAGCTGCAGCAGCAATTAAACACAACTATTGCAAATATGACAGCAATAATAGGAATAACTTAAATAATTTCTCCAACAGCAGGACTAACAATACAGCAACAACCACACAACAATATTTACATCAGCAGCAATGTAATGCAATAACAACGACAGCTGTACCAGCCGTAACAACTGCAGCAACAGCAACTTTTAATTGTAAATACAGACGGAAACATATTTTATTGTTGCTGTTGGTATTATTTCACATTTGCTCGAGCTTCTTGACACACGTTTCGGCCTACAATTGCTCCGCGCCTGGTGGTCATTGTCAAAATGATGGCAAATGCAAGGAGGATGTTGGTCAGTGCGTTTGTGCTGATGGTTGGCAAGGACCCGAATGCCAATTTTGTGGTGGTAAAGTTAGGTAAGTTTTATGGGTACACTTAGAGCATACGTTGAAGAAACTGTTATTTGTTTTGTTTTTCTATCTAATCTAATCAGCAATGTTTTCCATTGTAAATCTTTCAGTTGATATACAAATTAACCCCCGAAAAGAGGTCATAAATTAAGACCTCTGACAGTATAACTTTTTTATTATTTGAATCAAAAATTATTCTTATTTGCTAATATATATTTAATATTAAACTAACAGCTTAATGTTGAAAATAAAGGTTTTGCAAATTGTTTTATACTAAAATCAATCGGTTTTCTAAAGGCATGACTCACAGATATTTTTATATATATCGAGCGCATTTCTGTTTTTATTGTTTTCTTTTGTGATGCTAAAAAATACATGCTTTTAATTATAATTTTTCTTAGTTTTTATATTATAATATTAAAATATACTAGCGAAACCGTAACATTTCCGATAGTATCCGATCTACGACATCCTAGAAGTCATTACATGTACAGACATACTGCAATCTATATTGATCATATTCTTATAGTTACTAGTCAACATATTTCTACATAAACTAGTCAAGTTTCAATCCTTTTGAAAAAACCCATGACCGACTGATGGTCTAGTCTATGGGCTAATCAATGAACTATTCCACAGAATAGTAAACAGACAAGTCCACCGACTTATCCAAAGTCCAGTTAATAGACTAGAGCATAGTCTATCAAAAATTATCTTTGTTATGGAATCTTTAAGTACTTTAAACGTCTACCAAATTCTTAAAGAATTTTGAAATTATATATAAAAATTTTAAGATCAGATGATGAAAATTGTAACAGATCTTGATCACGGAATATTTTGGAACATATACTATTCATTAGATTATAAGTTAAATTTTAACCAATATTATTAGCAAACTGTAAAGTCGCATAAAAATTAGTTTTTAAATAATATAATTTTTATTTTTTTTAAATCCTTAGAAATCTTATCACTAAAATGCGCTAAATTTTGTGACGCATGTTGCTGCCAGATTTAAAATCAAATCAATATGAAAACAATCTACAATATTAGCTTTAATGGCACTTTTTAATTATTAAATTAAAACGTTTTTGAGATCCGATTATTGATAACGAACAAGTGCATTTATTCTAAATAATAGAAATATTAAATTACATGTATAAAACCCATAATTTTACAAATACGTTTATCACTGAATATAAAATATTTATTAACATCTACATATTAAAATTTTCAAATGTTTTTTTACAAAAATTATAAGCAATTACAATGATTCAAATAACAATTAAATATAAAGTATTTGATTTCAGTAAATTAATTATATGTGTTCGGATTATTAGCAGCTTCAACAGGAAATGAAATTTTACATTTTAATACATCACATTACAGAATTATAATTACCATTGATGCAGTAGTTTCTTTTTTCGATCAATGTACAATGTACAATTAATTAATCTATTTAACTTTGATAACTGTAATATTAAGACATTAATCGAGTGCTCCTTGCCATTTCACTTTTTTCTTTACCTACTTCCAAGGACTCTAATTGGCTATCCAAAACATATGTCCTTCATATGTTCATAGCCTCTATATATTTTACCATTCCGTATAAACTAATTTAAAATCTACTTTATTTCTATGTCTACCTTCTTTCCATTTAAGGATGTATCATCAGAACGGCATCATACACGATGGTTGGGGTAATTATTCCGTAAGTGTAAAATGTAGTTGGTTAATTGATACAAAACACTGGAGTCATAAACATGGTAAGCCGCCCACTATACGCATGCATTTGCGGGAATTTGCAACGGAATGTGGTTGGGATCATTTGTATATATACGATGGTGATAGTGTAGATTCTCCACTTTTGGCTGTTTTCAGGTAAAAATCAAACAAACAAAAATTTCATTGTAAATAAAACTAATTTTCTATTTAATATTCCACAGTGGCCTTATGTATAGAGGCAACTTTTCCATACGCAGCGTTCCACAAGTTATAGCACGTTCGGGCACGGCTTTATTACATTTTTTCAGTGATGATGCCTACAATATGTCTGGTTTTAATTTGTCATATCGCATGAATGCCTGTCCCAGTGATAATGAGGAAATTGAATGCTCTGGTCATGGCAAATGTAAAGATGGTTTCTGTAGCTGTGATCCCTTGTATAGTGGTGAAGCGTGTAATATAGCTGCTTGCCCTAATAATTGTATGGAGGATAAAAATCATGGTGTTTGCAATTTGGAAGAAGAGAGGTTTGTTGTAACAACAACAACAACATAATACATTCAATTCTAAATGTTTATTATTTGATTATAGATGTATTTGCAAAGAGGAATATGGTGGTAATGATTGTGGCCAATTGAAGGCTCATGGTGTTTGGTCGAGTATCAATACTAAGCAATCTTCACCACCACCTGGTACAGCCTCTCATGCTGCTGCTGTGTGGCGTGATACCATGTATATTATTGCCGGTGAATCATATGGTCGTGGTAAACTAATGACCACCTATGATTTCAATGGCAATGTCTGGGAAACTGTCCACACCGAGAAAGGCAGCACAGTGCCGGAGCAGCGTTACGGCATGTCCACCGTTATGTATGGCGATAAAATCTTCATGTA